TTCAGAGACTATTTTTTAACAACAATTGTTAAAGCAATGTCGTCATTGCATACTGTGGAATGATAAATTATAAATAAGATAAAGGAACTGTTTATACGTAGGGCACATTAAACTGAGAGGTTGTGATGTAATTTTCTTCATTCTTGGTATAGCGCACCGATATACTGAACAGATACACCAGTGAGGACTTATAAACAGTCTGGAAGAAGACAACTAAAGAGTTGGTGAGGAAGACAGAGGTAGAATTACTTTAACATCTATCAACTTAGAGTACTATATGTATCAACAGTTCGTTAATCGTATTTAACTTTTATGGTTTCACATTATGCAACGACATTGTTTTTGCAATTGTTTTTACATTTCTCCTATGATGGATCCAGCTCGATTCGAAACGCTGGTATTTTGTTTAATATTTATATGCGGTGTAAAATTTTTGAAAATTTTGACGAAACAAAATGTGATATAAAATAAAGCGAAAGTTTTCCATAATTTTTTAAAGATAAAAGCCTTTAAGTTAAAAAGTAGTTCAGACTTGTGAGTAATCTTGGCTTAAGTCGAAACAGCAAAAAAAAGAAAAGGAGGTTCTTATGTGTTCAGTCGAAGCACTGGTCCATGAGTAGTTTTCAGATAGGACACCAGTTTCTTTTTATCACGGAAACTCGCTCCTGCCCATGGATTAGAGCATTTGATATCTCCTAAATTTAGCCCCTAGTATCTTACTAAAACGTAGAAAATGCTAATTTTGAAATAAAGACTCATAAGGACATAAGGTACTATAGTAACTGTTGAATATAATAACTAGTAAATTGCTTGTACATAGATTCGATGGTTTTCATATTGCAATCAAGAGGTAAACGACTTACCTAACATAACGTAATAAAGCAGAGTCATCAAAGTCTAGCCGATGAAACATTGGAAAATTTGCCTCGATTTACAATTGAGGCATGTTCTTCACTAAGTGTAGAACATTTTGAAATTTCAGAAATAATAGAATTGTTGCAACGTGCACAAAAACAATTTTACTGCGTTTTACATTTTAATTATTTTTAAGCTAAAACCAAGATAGCATAGCCGTTGATGGGAAACTAATTTTTTTAATAAAAAGATCACTTTACTCATCTAAAAATGACTACCTCAGCATCGTGTACTAATCAGAGAATAACCACACCAAGGGAGAAAAATAAAATCAAACCAGGACAACTTTTTAGCAGGATTCAGTAAACAGACTTGCAGATATCGCAAAACAGAACTGTCTTCTGATTGACATGTATTTTGATTCCATGTTCTTCCTGTATTTTCGTCCGTCTCGTTGAGTAGCCGAACAAGTACAGTTTTTTCGGCGGCAACAATTATGCATAAAATAAACAAACTAAAGTTCCGTTCATTAATACAGTGTAAAGCAAAATCGCGCACCGGACGGCGCAATCGTCACTGTAAGACATCACACATTCTGCAACGGGGAATGAAGGGGCGAAACTATCGGGAAAACGGAAACTAACACCGGAAGTCGACGCCAGTATGAACAACGAAGGATAAAAAGTGACCAAAGTGAGGAAAAAGAAACGATATTAGAAAGACTAGAAGTGTTGATGAACGATCATCACATTAGGGATTGTGGGCAGTCTCTTCTTTTTTCGACCTTGTCTTGCTGGTAGGCGAGCAGCCGATCCGCGGTGGAGAAGCAGGGACAGTGGCCGCCAATGGCCGCGTGAGAAGTAGGAGCATGTCACACAACGGCGCGTCTCTCAGCTGTCTGACATGTCCGTGATTGCTGACGTCACTTGACCGAATATCTGCTGAATGTCCATCTTCAGAATGAACGGTATCACGTTCTCGATCTGCAGGTTGCCGATCAAGCCAGAAAAGAAAAGTTCCACCAGTATCTGTTTATTGAATGATCGTAACGCTGGCAGAACTAACAACATGTCTGTGTATCGGTCTTCGGCACAGTCACTTCGCCTGAGCTGCTCCAGAATTTCTCTACACGCCTTCTTTCGAAAATCGTTTAGATGAGCTGCGTTACAAGCGCTTGCTGTATCTACAAAAAGGCAACTAAAAAACAAGAATCGAATTTATACGAAAATATAAGGAGTCACTGACGCGTCTGCCTCCGCGACCCGAAATGAGAAGCGGCGATGGAAGATGAAGATATAAACAGTAACCGCCAGATAAATTTGGATTTGGACTAAGCTCTATCCGGGTCTTTAAAAATTCAGCAGAAAATTACAGACAGAAAACGCCGACAGCAGCTAACAAAAGACGGATCATGAGAAGCTCCGTTCTGAAATACAGAGTTATGATACAGTGATTACTGTGCAATTCGAATAAAAATGAACATGATTAGCTCGAATGCGTTGTATTGGGTCTTGCCGTATGAATAAGAACATTTTTTGTTCAGAACGAAAAGGAAGATGATGTTTTTATGAGTTATTTTATGGTTCGGTCGTAGAGCGAGATGAATGTTGGTCTGCAAAACAAAAAATCAGAAGCGTTCGTGGGTTAATGTCTACTAGTAACAGATCAGAGATAATGGGTAGACAACTTTTCCCTTTCAGTATGCAGAAATAACAGAAACAATTTCAATCATATTGTACATCGAACAACTCTGTCCTTCAAGTTTTATGATGATGCCAATGATAAAACCTCAGATAACCCGGTTTTGTTGGCAGCTGTGGCAACAAAAGTCAATTTTACAACAGCGGACTTCACCTGGAAGCCAGTGCTATTGAAGAATGGCCCCTAAGTAACTAGGTTACAGTAAAGTGTAGTTGAAAATTTCAATCGCTCTACTGAAACTATATTAGGGAAAGCGCCAAGACTATTATTCCTCCAAGAAAGGGGGACGCTGGAAGGCGAGCTTGCTTGTCGTATACTTTGCAGCTGCTTTGATCCATAAGGGGAAATGACTAAATGTTTTCAGAGAACTTCGTTGCCCTTCTTACAGGCAGGCGTTACAGGAAAATCAATGACAGATTTTTTGAACGTTGGAAGCACTGTCTGACGCGTCTGCCTCCGCGACCCGAAAGGAGAAGCGGTGATGAAAGATGAAGAAGATGAAGATTTTTTGAGTTGTTCAAAAATACCTGGAGCAGAGCAAATGATCAGCTTCAAATAGCCGTATTCCATGTCGGTGAGCTTCAACTGCTGCGTTCGATGCAGCAGATCCTGCAAAGAGTTGATCTGCTCAAGCACTTCTTCGTACTTCTCGATCTTCAGCTGACCGAGCAACGTGCAGGTGTGCAAGTGGATGGAAACGGCCGTCAGCATACTATTCAAACAAAACTTGCCGGCGCACTGTAGGAGCCCAATAAGGAAGATCTCGCACCACCGTTGCTTGAGGACCGCTTCTTGTATAGTCTGAGGTCTAAACACGGATAAGGTAATACACACGCGAGAAGCCCTCCAAAAAATTACTGATGCTTTAGTGGGGCGGTATTTTTCAACCAGTGTATTGACAGAAACAACAGGCGACTGGATGTTTCACAGATGTACTGCATATTTAGCACGGGAGGCAGCGGCAGCGGTACA